TTTCGATTCGTTTGTGCTAAGACATCCCACATGCATAACATGACCATTTTTGTAAGGCAACAAGTGGAATTACCCTAAGGGTGTAAGTGTGCGAGTGTGTTTGATTGCATGCATATTTTGTCTTTGATTAGGGTGATCTATTTGTCAATTTTTATATCTTGTCATATACCCTAATTACTAACATATATTGAAAGCAAATAACAATGTAGAAATGTAAAGTTCTACATTATTACAACATTTAAGGGGATGGGGGTGCATATTTTATGAGTGGGGGTTGCGAGTTAAAATTCTAGGTTACTTATTACAACCATATTGAAATAGACAAGAATGTACAGGAAATGTAAAATTTTTGTCTGTTCAAAAAGAAAATAACTTTTGTTTAAGAAAATATTTTTTGTCCTTTTTTATATTAAAAGAAAATATATCATGCAAATGTAAAATATTTTTGGTATTTTTGTTTTGGGTTAGAAATAAAATATAATATAATGGCAAAGATAGAAGAGAAGAAAACATAACCGACGCAAAGTAGAAGAGGTCAGAAGTTCTGACATTAACTTGCTGCACAAACAGAAACATGTTAGTAAAATATGGAAGTTCAGAAGTTCTGGACCTTCTGAAAATTTAGAAGTTTCTAGAAGTTCTAACGCAACTGTCAGAACTTTGTCTCTCTCCTGGCCAGTCAGAACATCTGCAACTTAGTCATTTACAGAACAGAAGTTTCATGCATAATAGTTATGGAAAATTTCATGAAATATCAGAAGCAAGAATCAGAGGCAACATGTATTTGCTAGTTCTAATTCTGAGTCCTATTTTCTTTATGAAACTCTGAACTGGGATTTCTTTTACTCAGGCAAGCAGATGCATGAATTTTCAGAATATGTATACCATCAGGATCAGAATATCTACATTGTGCTTAATATGTAAAATCTGATAATGCTTAATCAGTCATGATGAGAGTCAGCAAAACTTACTTTGCAGCTTGAAAGGATTCTGTAAGCTGGAGGTTGTTCTTGAATTCTGGTGATGTTATGAGTAGCTTCTTCACGTACTCAGCAGGATGGAAGTTTGCAACTTCTGAAGCAGGCAAAGGGGTGATATTCTGACTCCTTTGTGGTTAAGGTGAATGGAGAATGTGTTACTGTTTGATTACAAAATCTGGGATGGCTTAAATCAAGAACACTTGAGGAAAAATGGAGTTTGAATATAATGAATCAATGCTAAGATTTTGGTATTTTGTGCTTATAGTTTCCTAGGTTCTTGGAAATTTTGTAGTGGTTTAAAGCTTTCTTTCTCAATTCTTTCGTCTCCTTCACAAATTTTTCTGGTAAAAGGGGAGAGAGAGGGGGTCTTCTTCAGTGTGCAAATGATGTTCTATTTATATGGAAATTCTTGTAGTTGGGGCGGTCAAGTGGCACCAACATCACCTGCTTGATGCTGACTTACTCTTGAAGTAAGCTTAAACAAGTGGTGGTTCATTGCATTCAAGTTGGATGGTTAACAGCGCCTCATCTGGATTTAGCAGCGTGAATTAAGGAAAAGTATAGACAACACATTGGCCTAGTATACTTTTGCACATAAATTTGTCTTCCCAAGACAATAGGGGTACACGTGGAAAGACTCCCTTAGATAAAGACTCAGAGGCAGTTTGTGAGTATTAAATGAGTTCCCATGTGATATTTTGGATCCTTGCTTGACTCTAAATTTAGAAGTTCTGCTTCAGCATGGCATCTCATCTTCTGATCCTCTTATCTTCTGACTTCAGCATGTTCTAAGGGATCCTTCAGAACTTCCAGTATACTTACAGCACGCTTTGTTACCTTCTTTGACTTAAACTCTGCAAACTCTGACTGGACCGTTATGAATGCTGGCTCATAAGTTCTGACTAAACTTTGTCTTGAGAACATCCTAAATTTGCTGACTGTGAACAATGGCTCAGAAGTTCTGAAATTGTTATGTTTCTTAAATACTTAGAAAAATTTCTAAGTTTTTAGAATTTGGTTCTTCCAAAGTAAGATTTGACTTTTGAAACTCTTGATGAAGCAAACTTCATATTCCAACATGTCTTGATGAAATATGATTTTTCTGATTTGATTTTGATCCAAAAGTCAAAGTCAGACTTTTTCAGCATGCAAATGACCATTTTGCCCTTGTGAATGGTTTGCTTGGAAAAATTGGTAATTCAAGGCCTGTAGACTTGATGAAGGAACACTTGAGGATCCAGGGTGATCCCTTGAGAAATGAGAGGGCAAATTTTGGGGTGCAACAGCAGGTGTCGATGTCGAGTTGCATTCTTTCATCTTAAATCTCTTAAGAATTTCTCCTGCATATCTTCTTTGATGCATCATTAAACCTCTATTGCTATCATAGAATTAGATGCTAAGGAAATATAAAATGTCACCCAGATCAGACATTTCGAATTCCTTGTTGAGATCACCTTTGAAGTCTTTGATCTCCTTCTTACAGCTACCTGTTATAACAAGTCGTCAACATAGAGACATAGTATAAGCAATTCACTACTTCTTCTTCTTACATATACTCCATGTTCAGTTGTGCACTTCACAAATTCCTTCTTCCTTAGAAAGCTACCTATCTTCTTATTCCAAGTTCTTAAAACTTGCTTTAATCCATATAGGGCTTTATGCAGCCTGCACACCTTTCTCTCTTTGCCATGCTTCACAAACCCAACTGGTTGTGCAACATAAACTTCTTCATATAAGGGTTCTTTCAGGAATGCACACTTCACATCCATCTGACATATGTGTCAACTGTTCATTTCTCCTATACCAACAACCAACCTGATTGTCTCGATTCTATCCACATGTGCAAAGACTTCATTAAAGCCAATTCCTTCTTTCTGAAAAAATCCTTTCGCCACAAGTCTTGCTTTGTGTCGAGTTACTTCCCCTTTGGGATTCAACTTCACCTTGTATACCCACTTGACTTTACTTTCCTTCTTTCCTTGAGGCAATTTGAAAAGTGACCAAGTGTTGTTGTCTTCAATGGACTTCACTTTTTCATTCATTGCTTTCACCAACTTCAAATCTTTTAATGTTTCAGTTGCATTGACAGGTTCAACATCTGCATATAAAGCATAACGTACCAGCTTACCTTCATTATCGACCACATCATCTGATGTAATAACAAAATCTTGCAACCTTACAGGAACGTTGTTGTACCCCAAAATTTGCCCTCCCATATTCTTCAAGATTTGCAAAGAGCATGCTTCAAAATCTCTCAAGGGTTGCACAGTTTAAGGGCCTCCTAACAGTAAAAAACTAGGGTTTTGTTTCTGGAAAAGAAATTGAAGTTTCCAAGGGTCCAAACAAGTCCCATGTGCCTACAAACATTGTCAATTATCCTCATGTCAAGTTTCAAGACTTACAGCACAAAGTTGCACAGTCAAAAACCCTAATTGCCCTACAGTCAACTGTAGGGGCAAAATGGTCATTTGGCAGTCAAAGGTCCAAATTTTTGGTCAATATCTTATTTTGAAGCCACAAACATCATTTGATCAATTCTTGATCATGGTTCTCAATGCATGGCTCAAAAAGTCTCAAGATGCAAAAGTTTCCATATTTGGACAGTTGAAAAAGTCAACTGCAAATTGACCAAGGCATAACTTCCACATGTTTTATCAGAAAAATTCCATCCAAAGCTCATTTTGAAGATAATGACATTTCCTGCAACTCCTCTTCACACTTCAAGTCCAAGAAATGCTCTCACAAAAAGTTATCAATCTCAACATTATAGGTCATTTTCAAAAGTCAACAAAAAGGCACTTTAAGTCAAAGACCATAATTTGAGATTGGTAAATCAAAATGACATGGGACCAAAGGCATTGGTTAGAGGACTTCAATACCTTTCCAAAATGTCAAGGAACATGATCAAAGCTTAAAAATTGAGTAAGATATGCCTTGTGGAAGTTGGGAAATTTTTGGGAATTTTGAAAAGTCAACTTTGCTTCAAATGCCTCAAAATTGCTAATGGGCCTCAATTTCTTCCAAGAATCATCACCCAAAAGCTATGCACGACCCATTGACCCAAAGGGGAGTTATTTTCTTATTTTTAATTTATTAATTGAATTTTTAAATCCATTAATTCATTTAATTAAAATTAAATATGAGAAAAATACTAAACAAATGTTTGTGAATCTTTTTATGCAGCATATGCCCTCATTATTCACTCAAGATCTCGTGCACATCAAAAAAGGAAAGATTCTATGCAAATTGGCATGTTCTTCATGATGAAAAGATTGGAAAAGATTCATGAAAATCAAATTTTGAAAATCATTAAAGACAAAGCTTTGGGCTTGGATTGTTGACCTAAATCATTCCTCATATATGCACAAAGCTAACCCTAATCACAAAAAAAGAAAAAAAAAAGCTGCTCAGAGGCCACAATTTACATTCACGAACCAACCTTAGTACATTTTTTCCCATTCACGTAAATGTTTCACAAAATTTTTTTCCCACATGGTCTTACACCTTAGTCTCCCAACAAGTAATCTATTTTAGAGTCAAAATCCATCCCTGCATTTCCACTCTCACGTTTGTTGTCATTACAAAAGAAAAACTTTCAAAACTACACTCTCCATCCTCACATTTCTTTTTACAAGTAAGAAAACCACAACTTTAGAACCAATCCAAAAAACACATAAACCATATCATTTCTCCCATCTCCGATCTGCTCAACGCCTCACCGACTCTATTTCCGGCAATGATTCAAATACAGTTCAATTGTCCCGAAGTTCCAGTTTTTCTGGTCGGAAACTCGTCGGAGGCCAGGGTTTCGGGATTCCCCATCGCAAAATAGGGGAATCAAATTACCAATCCGACCCAAAATTCAGTTTCAAAATTCTCGTTTCAGATCGATCCGTTTCATCTTTTGCGTGATCTTCCTCTCGCGATCGCAAGTGTTAGTGATTGGTTTCAAGGAAAGGATTCTACACACTGGCCTTGTCGCGGGGATGAATTGTTGCCTGATCTGTTGAAATTCGTGCAATGTCCGGCTTACTTAATTCTTCTCTGAACGGATCTGCTTCAAATCTTCCAGACGGTGCTGGGCGTTCTTTTACTACATCATTCTCTAGTCAGTCTGGTGCAGCCTCGCCAATTTATCAGCATACTGGTGGTATTCAGGGGTTGCACAACATGCACGGGAGCTTTAACATTCCTAACATGCCTAGTACACTTACATCAAGAAACTCAACAATAAACAGCATGCCATCTGGAGCAGTTCAGCAACCTACATCAAGTCTTTCCAGTGGAAGATTTTCATCCAATAATTTGCCTTCCGCTCTGTCACAGCTATCTCATGGAAGCTCTCACGGACATTCAGGAGTCAACAGTAGAGGGGAATCAGCAAGAAGAAGCACGGAGTGAACAATGACATTGTTGTGAATGTTGAGTTTGGAGTTCTGTATGTTTGTGAAATAGAATTGAAATTTGAAGGTTTCTTTTTATTGTTTTTATGCATAATCTTAAGGTTAGTTTTAGAGCGTGGGTTTGGTTACAACAAGTTACAAGCCACAACAACAACACAATTGCAACCCAATAGCGTTGGTTTTCTCTTATAATACTCATGTTCCACTAAACTAACAAAGAAACACACTAGCTCAATTGGTTGATGCGCTGGCTTGCAGGTACTGGGATCTGGGTTCGATTCCCAGGTCCCCCATATTTCTTCCATATTTTTTCTTGTAACATGTTTCTATGCAGTTACTCATCTAAAGACCACCATACAACTCCAGCTCTTGGCTTGCCACGCGCCCATAAGCCTTAATCTGATGGCCATCACAAGCGGTCCACCATGGACGCCAGTCAACCGCTTCCCACTCAATCAGAGAAGTCAACCAGGCCTTGCATTTCAATGGGCCTAACAGCTGCAAATTAACCTCCAAATTGGGCAGACACCCCCAATGTTTGCATATCTTTTAATCTTTTTTTCTTTTCTATTTTTTAATTCTTTTGATCTTTTTTATTTTATCTAATTTACTTCAAATAATTAATTTTCATATAAAAATACAAAAAAATCAGAAAATCATAAAAATAAAAATATATTTTATTTAATATTATTTTGTAAATAAATTTTGTTAACTAATTTAGTTTAATTTTAATGTATTTTCTTAAATAAACTAAAAAAAAATACAAAAATAGGTTTTTAGTATATTTTGATCCTTTTTTTAATAAATATTCTTTTCTTATTATAATTATTATTAACCATTAATTATTTTTGTAAATAAATATGCCATTTAATTAATTAGGGTTAAATTAGGTTACAACTTAAACATTTTTTTTAATAAATTAAAAAACGATTTAGAACTAGGGTTTTAATTAACTTTTAATTCCAATTAATTTTCTTAATTCCATAAATACAAAAACTCCACAAAAAAAGGGGTTCTTTCTTTCATTTAAGTTAATTAATTTATGATTTTGATTTAATTTCTTTAAAAGGGTCCAACGCCCTCGTATTCCTGATTTTATTTCTTTTCGCACATTTACTTTTATTTCCCTTTTTTAAATTTCATGTAATTGCCCCAAAGCCTTGTAATAGATTAATTAGGACATTTATTTTCCGTATTTTATTTAAATCGGGTCTTGGTTTAATTTGGCGATGTGGACCCGCGCCTTTGTAATAGCGTAGGACTTTTATCTTCCCGCACCTTTTAACTGTTGATAACCACATGAAAGAATGAATGCCAAGAATAAAAACAAAGCGTAGATCACCAATGCATGACAAGATAAACATAATTGAAAATGACACACAAATCACACACCACTCCTAGGGTACGTCTCATTGTTTCCTTGCCCCTCGAAACGTGGTCGTCGAGTAGAGGATGTTTTAGTAAGTCCTCATGTCCATGAATATGGCATGAGGGTAGCTTCTAAGGTGTCTTCCTATTGCTCTGGTGACTACACTGTCCCGAACCCTCGAATTGACCCGAACACCTCCAACGGTGGTGCTACCTACCTCTCAATGGTGGGATGGCACTACTTTAAGGACCTTTACACAGACGAATTCCTTAGGGTAGGTAGATGACTCGTAGATACTTGCTCTAATTCAAAACAAATCAAAAACTTCTTTTCACACCGACACTTTGCAAAAAGCTTTCAAAAACAACTTTTCAAACACTCTTGAGGACTGATACAAGAGTCGAACTGAAATTTTAAACGAAACTTTTTTAAACCCACAGTTGAAAAGCAAACAAACATTTTGAAAACACAAATGAGCAAGTATCTAAGAGCCCATGGATAACCATGGATGGAAAGGGTGCTAACACCTTCCCTTTCTATAAATCTACCTCCCGAACCGAGAACTAATCTCAATAAGGAATTTTTCTGTGCTTTTGTCCTTTCCATTTGGAGAAAATAAAAGATGGTGGCGACTCTTGCTTCAGTGACATTTCGCGAACCAGCGTTAAACAGTCAGTTCCAGATCCACCGATCACAGAACTGGCGACTCTGCTGGGGAAACTTATAAAGTGAGGTGTACCTTAGGAATAAGATCACTTGTGTTTTCAATTGTTTTGATTTGCTTGCTTTAAATTGTGGGTTGCATGGGAGTTACATAGATCCTAACCCGGATCTGGGGATACCCTGTTAGGTAGCATAAGCTGTGAGGGACCTGTCCGGCGTAGACCGACACGGGTGAAGCAGTGGCTACGTTGGTGTGGCACCTTGGTCTGTAACGATATCCCTTGTGTCGCAACAAGGAGAATATGGGTCTTCCAAGGAGTCATTAAGCACCAACAGACCTTAGAACCTTAAATGACACAACTTGGCCATTAGAACAGTAGCAGTATGCTACGCCCATTGAGGCTAAACTCTCGTGATGGTTCTGGCCGCAAGAAAAGATTGCGATGCTGGAGTTATGACCGATTGAGGGTAGTCAATGATATTGGGATCCTCTAAGAACCCGGTTACTTTTGATAGGACAGGTATGAACTAACAAACTGAAAGAGGGTAATACCTAGACCTCATGCTGGCCTAAACTTTAAGGGCTTGCCTTGTGTGACTTGTGTGCCTTACATGTGTGCCTTTGTAAATATTTGTGGTGTGCTTTATCATAACATCATAACATCATGAGCATTGCATGCATCCTGCATAAGGACTGACCATTTCAAAGACAAGAGGGTTTCACCTTTGCTCTGTTTTGTAGGACATCATGATGCCTGTGCGAAGGAATACTATCCGGTTCAACTTTGTTCACCCATCTGAGTTGCTTGAAGAATTGGTTAGCAGAATTCCAAATACCACATCCTTCATCCAGAGGCATGGTTCTCTTCTCAGTTTAGTCACTGCAAAGCGGGATCAACAGTTGATGAGTGTCCTGACTCAGTTCTATGACCCTCTGTACCAGTGCTTCACCTTTCAAGACTTCCAGCTGGTCCCTACCCTGGAAGAGTTCTCTGATTTTCTTGGCATCCCTATCTTGGATCAGACTCCCTACACTGGTTGGGAAAAGACCCTCAGGCTTGAGGAGGTTGCTGCAGCTCTCCCCTTGACCCATCAAGAAGTAATGGACAACTGGGTGACTAGAAGCGGAGTTAAAGGTTTTCTTGGCCAAGTTTCTGATTGGTAAAGCTAACAGTTTCTGGAATGACTTGGACTTTAGGGCATATGAAGACATCTTGGCTCTCTTAATCTATGGGCTAGTCTTGTTTCCTAATCCTGACAACTTCATCAATGTCACTGCCATAAGGATCTTTATGTCTCAGAATCCTGTGCCCACTCTCTTGGGTGACATCCTGCAACAACTTTGTGCTCGTACTGCCCGAAGACGAGGAACTCTATGGTGTTGCATCCCATTGTTAGTGATGTGGTTTATTTCGCACCTCCCTAAGTTCGTGCTGAAGAACCAAGAAGGAAGAGGTTGGGCTCATAGGTTAATGTCTCTCACTGATAAAGACATCATCTGGACTTTCAGAGGTTTGGATGAGATAGCTGTTATTGATCGCTGCGGGGAATACCCTAACGTTCCTTTGATTGGTACTCAAGGAGGAATCTCTTACAATCCATGTCTAGCACTCTGACAGTTTGGAAGAGCAAGAAGAGCAGGGCCTCATGGGATGTTGGTGCCTCACATCAGTTTTGAGTTTCAGGTGGATAGTGACGAGCTGCATCGTAGGTTCATCAAGGCTTGGGACAAAGTTCATAAAGCTGACCCACAAGAATTGGGGCCAAAGACTTCTTTACCTATGGAAGCCTACTACAAATGGGTTCGCGTCTGTTCTCAGAAGTTAGGTATGCCGTACGAAGCTGTCAGACCCGTCATTCTTGAGTATCCTGACAAAGATGGGGCTCCTCCAACTGTCCTCCCTCCTCAGATACCTACGGATTATGAGACATTAAAGAGGTCTTGGTCACAACTGCGAGAAGAGTGGGATTCTTACCGGGAAAAGTTCAACGAGCAGGAATTGAAGATCCAGAAGCTGACAAAGCAGCTGGAGAATGAGCGAGCTCTGAATGATTACATCCGTACTGAGAAGAGGAGACCATGGGATCAATAAGGAGCTCTGGATGTTCTTTTACAGTTTTATTTCCCTTTTCAGTATTTCCCTTTTATGTAACGCCTAAGGGCAACCTGTTGAACAATTTAAGTTTCAAAGTTGAATCTAATGAAGTGTGTTCCTTTTTGTTTACAAAGTTGATTCCCGATTGTCTTTGAAAACATAAATCATACGCATTCCATTCATCATGTGCATAGCAGGTATTCTTCTTTTCAGGTTGCTTACTGTTCTTCGCTGTTTATTTCAGCATCATGAACCCTGACTCATCATCAACCGAGATGTCTATCAAGGCTCTTCAGGCGTAGAACACGCAATTTCAGGAACTGATCATGGGTTTGGCTCAAGGCCAAGAAGAGCTGAAGGCTTTACTCCTGAAGAAGGAGAAGAAGAAGAAGAAGAGAACTGTTCTTTTCAACTCGGGCCGAAGGTTTGGCAACACTCTGCAGAATGAAGAGGCTGGTTCTTCTATAGGCAAGAGCAGTCCCCAAGGGGGAAAAGGTCCTAGTCCGGTAGTCTCTGACAACGAGACTGACTTTAATGAGGAACAATATCCTCCTGCTGAAGACCGGTATAAACAGTTGGAGGACAGACTGAATGCAATGGAGATCCAACAAGTGCCTGGGCTGGATTTCGGAGACTTGGGCTTATCTACTGGTGTGATCATTCCTCACAAGTTTAAGGCACCATCTTTCACCAAGTATGACGGGGCATCTTGTCCCAAGCTACACCTCAGATCTTACGTGCGGAAGATTCAACCGTACACTGTGGATAAGAACTTGTGGATCCACTTCTTCCAGGAGAGTCTTTTAGGGACTCATCTCGAATGGTTCTATCAGCTGGATGGGACCAAAGTTCGTAACTGGGAGGAGTTGG